ATTCACCAACTTTTCCCCAAAATCCTCTCTCCCCTTACATTTCTTTTTTCTTCCCCAGGTGCATACCGCTTTTTTTAAACCCCACTTTTTCCAATCTTATTTTACTCCACATAATCCTTGAATTTATACATTTGTAGTCCCTCTTTTCCTGCCATAGCTTATCCTTCAACATTATTGCTACTCCTTCTTTAGCTCTAACTCTATTTGAAACCCCTGACCTAATCCCATTTATTCCTCTCCACTGAAACTCTCCCACCCCCTTCAGCTTTGTTTCACTTAAAGCCAGGACATCCAGCTTCTTCTCATTCATAACATCCACAATCATCTCTTTCTTATCATCTGCACAACATCCACGCACATTCAGACTTCCCACTTTGACAATTTTCTTCTTATTCTTTTTAGTAATCTTTACAGGAAAAGGGGTTACTAGCCCATTGTTCCCGGCATTTTAGTTGACTTTTACAACACGCATGGCTTATGGAGGAAAGATTCTTATTCCACTTCCCCATGATATATAAAGGAAAATTAATAAGACCAAGAACTATTAAGATAAAAATCAAAGAAAACTCAGATGAGTGTGTATAAATAAATGTGTACATGTATGTATAGTGTGACCTAAGTGTAAGTAGAAGTAGCAAGACATGCCTGTAATCTTGCATATTTATGAGACAGACAAAAGACATCAGCAATCCTACCATCATGTAAAACAATCACAGGCTTTCGTTTTACACTCACTTGACAGGACGGTAGTACCTCCCGGGTGGTTGCTGTTTACCAACCTACTAATATATTTAATATATTAATATATTTAATATATTTAATATATTTAATATATTTAATATATTTAATATATTTAATATATTTATAATCGGTTGTAAGAGAAGTAAATGCTAGGGTGTTCGGGAGAGGGGTGAGATTAAATTATGTTGAATTAAATACAAAATGGGAAGTGACAGTTACTTTTTGCTGATGATACTGTGCTTATGGGAGATTCTAAAGAAAAATTGCAAAGGTTAGTGGATGAATAGTGTGTGTGTAAAGGTAGAAAGTTGAAAGTGAACATAGAAAAGAGTAAGGTGATGAGAGTATCAAGTGATTTAGATAAAGAAAAATTGGATATCAAATTGGAGAAGAGGAGTATGGAAGAAGTGAATGTTTTCAGATATTTGGCAGTTGACGTGTCGGCGGATGGAGTTATGAAGGATGAGGTTAATCATAGAATTGATGAAGGAAAAAAGGTGAGTGGTGCATTGAGGTATATGTGGAGGCAAAAAATGTTATCTATGGAGGTAAAGAAGGGAATGTATGAAAGTATAGTAGTACCAATACTCTTATATGGGTGTGAAGCTTAGGTTGTAAATGCTGCAGCGAGGAGGCGGTTGGAGGCAGTGGAGATGTCCTGTCTAAGGGCAATGTGTGGTGTAAATATTATGCAGAAAATTCGGAGTGTGGAAATTAGGAGAAGGTGTGCAGTTAATAAAAGTATTAGCCAGAGGGCTGAAGAGGGTTTGTTGAGGTGGTTTGATCATTTAGAGAGAATGGATCGAAGTAGAATGACATGGAGCGTGTATAAATCTGAAAGGGAAGGAAGGTGGGGTAGAGGTCGTCCTCGAAAAGGTTGGAGGGAGGGGGTAAAGGAGGTGTTGTGGGCGAGGGGTTTGGATTTCAAGCAAGCAAGCGTGCGTGAGCGCATTAGATAGGAGTGAATGGAGAAATGGTATTTGGGACCTGACGAGCTGTTGGAGTGTGAGCAGGGTAATATTTAGTGAAGGGATTCAGGGAAACCGGTTATTTTATATAACCGGACCTGAGTCCTGGAAATGGGAAGTACAATGCCTGCACTCTAAAGGAGGGGGTTTGGGATATTGGCAGTTCAGAGGGATATATTGTGTATTTTTTATACGTATGTACTTCTAAACTGTTGTATTCTGGGCACCTCTGCAAAAACAGTGATTATGTGTGAGTGAGGTGAAAGTGTTGAATGATGAAAGTATTTTCTTGAGAAAAAAAAAAAAAAACATTTAAGATTAGCAAAAGGTAGAATACAAATTGATATTCATGATTCTGGGGGGTCAGAAGATAAGTGCAGGAAACACTAGGGTACAAAATAGAACAGATATTCTGGACACTGTAGGCATGAAAGTGAACGAATCAGTAACTATTCCCTGACAATTTATCTCAAACAAAAATACTGATGGATGGTTTTATATACCTTATGCCAACCTGTACAAATTGAATGAACATATTCAGTTTTATAAAGTTAGTTCATATGATCCAATCCATTTAGTTAGTATTTGAATGAATGAATATACTGTATATCAAAATTATTTAAGGATTTCAGTACACACTAGGCATTAATTAAGTTTATATAGTACAGAGAAATTAGCAAGTTGTAGATCAAATTTTATGCACGTAAAGTACTCCTTTGAATGCAGTACGCTGACAACTAGCTACAGCAAGCCTCTACTGAACTCATTAATGCCTACATGATTAATATCAAATTCACCATAATTAATGCTTACAATTTCTTTCATCTACTTTCAAGTACTTGTCACAAAGTGCTAGTTCAGCTGTCCAAGGTGGCGAGGAGAAGTTTTCCATTACCCAGCAGCGGTGGTGCATGCTCCATAACTTTTGTGATTCTTCATTAGACAATTTTCTACCATTGTCATTTCCCCAGTAAGACTTTTCTCCCATGACTCTTGATCTTCTCTGAAAGCAGTATCATCAGTTAATCATAATGTTATGATCTCATAATATTTATTAATAACATAGTGAAGCAAAAATCTTTCCAGAAGCAAAGTACTTGATGAGCAAAGCTTATTGCTCATAACATAAGCAGTAACCAACAATACCAAGTACAGCATTTAGTCCAGAATTCTACAAGGTTTGGTCAGAGGAAATACAGGCAGTGTATACAGTGAAACAGTGAATGTAGTACAGATACTTAAAACATTTATGTAAAAGATCCCTTCCTACAATGGTCATCTCCCACTGAGGCAGGATGACCCAAAAAGAAGGTTCTTTTTACATTTGGTAATAAAATGAGTATATATCCAATATAAAAAGAAGAGTGTTAATATCTGAATACAGTATCTGATGAACATCAAAATGGTATACAATACCGACAGGTTGGTAGGTAAGACACATAGGCAACAGTTAAGCAACGACTTCAAGGGTGATGACTGATTACAATCGTCTTCACATCTCTACTGTTCCTGTCTACTTTCTGTATTTGACCGAAGAAGCCTACTGTGTAGGCGAAACGTTTCGGAATAAAGTTGCCTAACTGTTGCCTATGTGTCTTACCTACCCACAGTATCGGATACACCACTAACCCCTTCATGGCTAAGAGAATCTCTCGCCGAAAGTTCCAAAGTGTGCTAACATCTGGGTTTACTATTAAAAGCTGTGCAGTTATCTTCAGTCCTTCTTCATCGTGAATTCCTGATGTTCTCTGAAATACAGTAAATAATTATCACAATCAGATGTTTCTAACTAGTAAAAGTATTTTAAATCTATCACTCCAAGAATAATAGCTTGGTAAACACATTCAAGCAATAGCATCAAGAGTAGGTATTCAGAGTTCACAATGAAAGGGAAAAAAAGTTAGCAATAATGCAAAATATACAGAACTCGCTCTTCTTTCAACTCTTAGATTGCACTTTACCTTTGCAAAAGCCTTTGTGAGTCCTGCAAGATATAACTTCCTTTTTTCTGCCCTCTCTTTCTGCTTCTCTGCTGCTTGCTCAGCTGTTGTCTTTATTTTCAAACGTCCATGCTGTGAGGAATATAATTTAAAGAAACTAGAATTAGTTCTACAAAGAAGTCAATTGACCTAAAAAAGACCTGAGAAGAAATGAACCTGTTAGGCTTTCTGGGTTCATACTTACCCTCCTGTGTTACCATAACTATTATTATTATTATTATTATTATTTGAAGTGCACTAACTCCTATGAATAATAAGAATAGTTAAATTTTTCTATAAATAGTCATAATTGGCTATAAGTACCCATCGGATGAAGAATTTTATCCAGATTATTAATTTGGATGGTTAGTAACCTAATCATTATCACTCATTATTTATTATCCTAATAATAAATATGTTGAACTCAATACCACAGTTATACATTCATTAATTATTCATCAAAGACACTAAGGATATCAGAAAGCCACTGGGTTAAATTCTGCACTTTCTTGGGTTATCCTGGGTGGCTGACCATCAGAAACAATAAAACAACTTTATTTCTCTGTGTAGTATACAGTGTAGTTTACATGTTAAAAATCCCAACAAATTTGATCTTAACCCCCAGTAACAAAAATTAAAATTTATTACTATATAATACACAGATAAAATACTCCCATTATGAAGTGTTTATTTACAACTCAATATACAATTTTAATATTTTACAGTGGTTTTGCATAGTAAATTATATAAAGGGGAACCCACCATTTAATACAATTTTGATCTGGATTAATGCAGTACAAAAGTAATGTAATTTGCATGTAATCAAACAATGTTAAGTACAAAAGAAAGAATAACAATCATATGAAGATAAGTCGGCTTTCATAACATTACTCATCAAAATTCCTAATGTTTGCAGTCCCTTCATAACTATGATAGATCACCGTTGTTAAGAGTGTAACAGTAACATCTTATAGGAGTAAATATGTTGAAAACTGTGAGAGAGATGGAAAAAGTTACCATTGTATAAGTTGTTGTTGAGAGCAGCTGGGAGACACCACCCGGCTGTTGTTGGTTCTTAAGGGACTCTAAAACTTGGAAATTATTGCGCGAATTATAATTCAAACATTGTTTCCTGGAATAATAAATAAGTTTATTTAGGCACAAGTACACACAAGTACAGTTATCATATATAGTGAAAATTACCTAGAAAAATTTCCCCCCCAAAAGTCTAAGTGACTTATTCCCACTGGAGTCCACAATGGCAATAAGTCACTAACCTTATTTTAGTGGGAGTTATTATAGGCAATTTACACATATGTTACTAATAAGATATTAATAATAAGATATATGAAATATTAAAGTTTTATCCACATTTTGTATCGACTAGATAAATAATTTTCACAAACAGGATCGCAAGTTAGGTAAGGTCTGCCCGGTGAGGCTGGACAATATTACGATATATTCCCATGACACCTGCTGTCCATGTTTATTTATTTATTTATTTATTTATTTTAAATTTGTGCACACATACAGAGGTACAAAAAAATACAGATAAGAGCAGTATGCCAAAGCCACTTATACTATGCATAGCATTACGGGCTGGCTTAAAATTAACTTAAGATTAACTAAGCAATGATGAAGTCAGTGATAAAACATTAATGTAAACAGATTACTATAAAGCACAAGTGAGTATTACAAAGACAGGTCATATGAGGATTCTGTTTAGGTAGTGTATTTTAAAAAATAATAAAGTTAGATTGGGGTTTAGGTTTAAAAATTTATGGGGATTAATTGTGAGAAACATTTAAGAAAATTTCAATTTATAAGGTTCAGTTTTTTCAGTATTTATTTGGTTTTGGGTGAGTAAGTGATCTTTGAGTAAGACTTGAATTTATAAACAGGTAGTGTTTCTTTTTATATTTACAGGTAATGAATTCCAGATTTTTTGGGCCTTTTATGTGCATTGGTTTTGCATAGTGTGAGATGAACACGAGGAACATCAAAGAGTGATCTGTGCTTGTGTTATGGTCATGTGTTCTGTTGAGGTTGGCAAGGAATTGTTTGAGGGGGGGTTTTACAGAGTTAAGTGTTCTATGTATGTAATAGGTGCAGTAAAAGTATGGATGTTTTGTATGGTGAGTAGGTTTAGTGTATTGAATATTGGTGGAGTTGTCTGCCTGTAGTGAAAATTTTGTTATCATTCTAACTGCAGCCTTTTGTTGGGTAATTTAGTGGTCTGAGATGGTTAACTGTTGTTGAGCCCATCCCACAAATTCCATAGGTGAGATGGGGGTAAATAAGAGAGTGATATAGGGCCGGGAGGGCTGATGGGGAAACTAGTACCGTATCTTCGATAGTATCCCTACAGTCTTGGAAATTTTCTTAGAAATTTGTTGTATATGTGTATGAAATTTGAGTCTATTATCAAGGTGGATTCCTAAGAATTTCCCTTTTTTGCTTTGTGATAGGTGATCCGTTTATCTTTATGTTAAGGGGCATCTGTAGCTCTGTTACCAACTGAATGAATTTGGTTTTGTCAAGGTTTAGTGAAATTTTTGTTATCCTCATCCAGGTAGATATTTTTCTGTAATTCGGTATTTACAGTATTGGCTAGTGTGACTGGGCTCGGGTGAGAGAAGACGTATGTAGTGTCACTGAAAATAGTGGGGGTTTGAGTAATTGCGAAGCATTTGGAAGGTCATTTATGTTAGGAGAAAGAGAAGAGGGCCAAAAGGACACTTCCCCTGTGGGACCCCAACTGAAATTTGGGTTTTGCGCAGAAGATTTTGCCCTTTTGGGCGTACACATATTGGCTTCTGTTGCTGAGGTATGACTTGAGGTAATTTGAGGGAGTGCCTCTATACATAGTGTGACAATTTTACGTGGAGAAGTCATGGTCAACTGTATCAAAAGCTTTACGTAAGTCAATGAAGATCCCCAGTGGGACTTCTTTTTTTCTATTGCAGTGTATATATGTTCTGCATGTGTAAAATTTAGCATATTAGTATTTTTATTAGGCCTGAATCCAAATTGGCGGGGTTGAGAAATGTTTTGGGAGATAAGGTAGGAGTAGATTCGTTTATGAATTAGTTTTTCAAAGATTTTTGAGAGAGGGTGTAAGTTGGATATTGGCCTATAGTTATTCAACTTGTTGGTCTCCTCCCTTTTTGGATCGGGTGACCTTGCTATTTTGGTACTGTAGGGAAGGTGGAGGATTCAATGGATTTGTTAAAGAGTGTTGCAATGATTGGAGATAGCACTTGTGAACTTTTTTATATATAAAGGGTGGTAAGGTACTTAAATCTCCTGCCTTGTTTTTTAGTGCATTGATAAAAGGGAGAAATTCGTATGGGTTAGTCGGAGCTAGGAACAGTGTGTTCGGGTAGTTGCCGGTGAGGTAGTTATTTGGTGGGGTATCTGAGCTTGGGATTTTATGGGCAAGGTTTTGTCTATAGTGGAGAAGAAATCATTGAGTTGTTTGCTGTTTCTGTTGGTGGGAGTTGGGGTTTATCTGATTTTGCTAATTTTATTTCGCTATTTCGTGATATCTTTTTTGTTCCCCGAATTTCAGATAGTGTTTTCCAGGTCTTTTTTATATCACCTCGTAAGTTGGATAATCTGTTTCATAATACAATTTTTTTGCCCTTCTTATCAGGCTGGTTAGGATTGACGAGTAAAAGTTTTGTTTGGTCTTGGTTATGTGACCATTCTGTACTGTTTTTCATATTGGTGTTTTGTATTTATGGATTTGAGAATGCTGGGTGTTAGCCAGGGACTGTTCAGTCTCTTTGCTGTCATCTGTTTAGTTTTTTTAGGGCAGTGCTTGTTATAGAGGTATTGGGTCTTTTTTAGAAAATTATTAATACATTCGTCAATATCTGTATAGATTTCTAGCTCAGTGTGCCAGTCAATGTTTGCTAATGCTGTTGCGAAGTTATTAATGGCTGCCTCTTTGTAAAGTCTGAAGGTGACTTTAGTAGTGTCTTGGGGTGGGTTTACCAAGAGTTGTTATGAGGAAAGAGGGTAGTGGTCTGTGGTATTATCTGTAATTATGCCTGATTTTAAAGGGGATATGGTGTTGGTCCAGATGTGGTCAAGTAGGGAAACACTAGTCTCTGTAACTCTTGTAGGTTTGTTACTGTTGGTAGTAACATACAGTTACTCATTGTGTTTGTGAATTTCAGTAACGTGTGGGTCCTGGTCTTGCAGGAGATTTATATTGAAGTCACCTGAGAGTAGTAAGTGATTTTTGTTCATGCGTGCATCATTTATCTTTACTTCCTGGGATTTTGACTAAATTGGCTAATGTTTGACTGTGGAACTCTTTGATGTTTATCAATGTGAGAGGTTTTTGTAGGTATTTTGGTTTTGAATTTAGCTATTATATTTTCCCCCATGTTCATCCCTTGGGGCAAGTTTTTAGTGATACATTCTAGTTGGTCTGAGTAGTATATGGCTGTGCCACCCCCTTGTTGGTCTGGCCTACAGTTGTGTATGGCTGTGTAACCAGGAATGGCATAGACATCTGTACTATCAGGCTTTAGCCAGGTTTCAGTTAGTGTAATGATGGACATATTGGCATGTAAGGAATTTAGTAATGCTATGAGGTCATCATAATGCTTGCTTAAAGATCTGATATTGTAGTTAAAGATAGTTATGTTGTTGTTGGCACTGGGTACCTGGGTGTTAATGGACTGGTGTGGGTCGCATCCTGGGACAAAATTTACCTAATTTACCCGAAATGCTCAGCATAACAAGCAACTTTTTATATAGTAGTATGTCATTGATGTCAGCTAGGACTGTATACCTTGTACATGTACTTGTAGAAATAAAGATATTATATTAACAAGAGAAGTGTTTCGGCTAAAGCTCTCGTTTCACACAGGGAGGGCCCGGGTTCGATTCCCGGCGGGTGGAAACATTTCGACGCATTTCCTTACACCTGTTGTCCTGTTCACCTAGCAGCAAATAGGTACCTGGGTGTTAGTCGACTGGTGTGGGTCGCATCCTGGGGGACAAGATTAAGGACCCCAATGGAAGGATTAGCGTGGACGGTTACAAAGCATGGCTTGCTTCTGCAGTGTTTTAAAAACTGAGTTTGGAGAGTTGAAGGAGGAGGTCTTGCTTCTCCAGGAGGAGATTAGGAGGCTGAAGGTCCACCTCAATGGGCCTGGGAGAGAGTGTGAGGTGGTTGGAGATGTGGGGAATGAGGCTTCTAGCAGTGAGGTGCAGTCTGTCTCTCACTGTGAGGAGGCTGTAGGTGGGGAGGTAGCAACGGGTACCAGCAGTGAGGTGCAGCCCAGCACCTGCTACAAGTGGCGGTTGTTCACAGTAATGGGAGGCGCATCAGAGTAAGGAAAGTTAAGAGTGAAGATCTGAAGGTAGGAAATCGTTCTCTGTTCTCAGGATGAATGTACTTCAGGGGCCCAGTGAAGGTAAGGGTACTACTCCCCCTGCTAATGAAGGTAAGCGCATTCTTGTGGTTGGTACTCTCAGGTAAGATATGTTGACCGTGTTTTTTTTGTAATAGGAATAAGAAGATGAGAGATAGAGTGTGCTTCCCTGGAGCTGGTGTTGGGGACATTGTCAACAGACTGGATAATATCATGTCAGGTAATGGGAACAAGCCATTATCTGTCTCAGTGCTGGGGAAATGATATTGGGAAGGGTAGGAGAGAAGAGCTGCTAGATAAGTACAGGTCAGCTATAGATTTCATTAAGTCTAAGGGAGGGATCCCAATCATATGTAGCATCTTGCCTAAAAGGGGGGAGTAGGAAATGAATGGTTGTCTAGGGCAATTTGGTGTAAATTGCTGGCTAGACAGATACTGCAAGGAACTTGCAATCCCATTCATTGACAACTGGAACAACTTTTTTTGGCAAACATGATTGTATGCAAGGGATGGGGTTCATCTCTCTGGGGCAGGGGTGGTAGCACTTGCAGACTCGATTGAGAAGGGCCATTGGTGAAATGCCTATGATTTTTAAACTGATGGAAGATAGAGGTATGGGTGTTGTGTGGGAAACAAGCAGGTTGCAACACTAGGGTTGGAAACAGTAAATGTAT